CGTTGTCTTAACCACCTAGCCATGAGCCCATTCTTAGTACTTAAAACCCAAGTACACCAATTGGTGTCTCTATGTTGCCATACTATTTCTGATGTCTTTCTCTTGGAATTGTAAGTTGAATTTTTTTTTACTTTGTTGAGAGAGAGAGAGAGAGCTTGGTCTTCACATCTCACCTGGAAATTATTTTATTCTCCAGAGTATTCAAGAGAGTGCGTCTCACTTCGGATTTGTAGTGTAGAACTATTTTTGCAGCTCCCATACTCCTAAGGAACTTAATTGCACTTCACAAAATCTGTTCGAAGAAATAAGTGTTGTGTGTGGTCATTAAATACCTTATGAATGCTTGTAAATGAATTTTTATATAATAGAATATGAACTCAATGGGAGTATGCTGTGTGGATTATAATAAGCAAATAATGTTTATTGATACCGAACTGTGCTTAACGTGTTAGGTCAGTCTGGTTGGAAAAAACTCATGTTACATGGGTATAGAAATACAAACCGATAAGGGTTATAATGGGTCATCATTTATTGAGGTCAGAATATGCTTGAATGAGTGAACCGAGAGACTGCATGACCCTTGTGTGTGATGGAGAGCTTTAGAGATGGGAGCCAAAGCCTCAACTGAGTACAATCACATAGTATGCACATTGATAGACGTTTTCGAGAAAGTGAACCACCTTTCAGGGTAAAACGTGTGCATGTGTGAGAAAATTCATATGCACCATTGAGTAATAGATTGTATTAGGTCTAGGTGACCTTGGTTCGTCTCTAGGGGAGAACCTGAAATCCCTAGGCTGAGACTACGACCCCTTGCCCATTGGCTAGACTTTAGTGACCCACCAATAATACCCTACATGGACTGTGGGTCATAAGCAACGCTGGGTCGGTTTGAGAAAGCATACGTAGTCCGTAATCCACAATTGAAGGTGGAGTGCCCCAGTGCAAATTTATTCCTAAACCATATGGATTTTTTTTCTTATCAAAGTATTTAATTATATTTATTTTAATAAAATATAATTTTTTAGAATTGTTATTTGATTTTTTCTAAATCTTTCGATATTTTATTTATCAATTTTGGATTTATAAAAACAAAAATATGGATTTAAATATTTAAATATGATTTTATGAATTTTTAAAAATTATTGTATTTTAAAATATTGCATAGGAGGCCCAATAGGCTTTATGGGCTCACCATGGCAATTAAGTTGGGGCCCATTGTGTGCCACATAGGGTGGAATGCCCCACCTAGGTGGCTTTCTATTTTGAAGAGCTCAAGCTCCATTGAGGGAAAAGAAAGTGATTTACAATAAAATTTGGTATGTATGAGAAGGCATATGCATAAAATAAGAAAAGAAAATGTTATAATATATTAATTTATTATTTGAATTAATTGATGAGAAAATAATTTATGAAGTATAAAATATGGTTCTAACACATTTCATACGATCTTGATGGCTTATCTATGGAATGGACGATTCATATCTCTCACCCCCACAAGTCACTCAATATCAATGGTGTATATTCGATCTCACATGAAGTGGCAAGCTATGGAAAACTCTAAAAAACCTTAAATCTATTAAAGCACTATAAAAATGAGAGTACCATACCCAAAATCTCTACAACAAAACTTTCCATCTCTATTACACAATTAGGGGGCACACCCCACTCTAGAAGACCACATCTTAAAAAGTTGCTCTCTCTCTCTCTCTCCTCATGTAATCCTAAAATGGCACGCCCCACTCTCTTGCTTTCATGGATGTTCTCTCATCTCTCATCTCTCATCTCATATTGGGACTATTGGATGGTTGAAAATGTGTCATTGTTTAGACACAATCCAAAACAAAACTTCTTAAATCTTGTGTACAATTTCATCCATTGGATTTCACACCCAATGGCTAAAAGTGACTGTGATATCTTTATACCAAAAATCAATGGCATCATAATATACAATCCTTTGTATTTAATATACATAAAGTATCTTAAAAGACCATTTACTTTTAGTATAAGGTGCTTGCCCATTATATTTTAAATTGAGTAGTTATAAATATGCCATTGACTAGACTCAGTATTCAAATAAATTTTTTTGAACTTAATGACAGACCCCTAACCATCACCCCTAACCATCAAATCTTACATCTAATAGCTAGGAGTGATTGTGACCTGCTTGTGATAATATAAACATTCTCATAATATACCATCGCAATATGTATTAGGTACTGTATGACGAAGTATTCAGTAAATGCATGTGATAAACTCTCCCCTCTGTGGTTGATCTGCATGCCCTCTCTCTCCCTCTCCCTCCCTGTGGACTCTTTATCTGTATAAGAAAATGCGAAAGTTATAGGTCTATGCTCAAGGGTTCCAGGCATGGAGAGAGACGGAGTAGAGAGAGAGACACGGAGCAGAGAGATGTGAGGCTTTTGAGAGACGAAGAGGTGTAAAAGACTTTTATATAGGGTATATCCTGATGATAATGTTGTAACGGGGGCGATTACGTAACTTTCCCTTAAATATACTAAATAACATCATAAAATGGAAAATAGGAAACAGACAAACATTTAGAAAAGCAAATAGAGAAAATATGGAATAAGCAAAAAATATATCACAAAAACTTTAGAATTACTAGGAACAAAACAATGGAATATTTTTCATCTATAAACTTTTATCACGAGAATGGCATAAGGCTTTCGTAGTAGTATTGCCAAATGAAATCTCTAATTCCATTCTCACCTAAAGGCCCAAATCCCCACTGGCTCATCACTTTTTTTCTTTCTTATTTACCCAAAAAAAAACGTTACGTAGGGTAGGACAAGGCACACAGGGGATAGG